ACACGTGCTGAACTTACAGTAGAGACAAATTTTATTGTTGCCGTTTGACTGTTTAAGGGTAAAATTAGAGATTTGGGGTAACACGTGCATAAACTTTGTAAATAAATTCGCATTCGCACCTCGTAAATGGCTTTTCATGGCCGAGATATGGAATTCATGGCTCGGTGAAATAGAATCACGGCTCGTAGAAATGGAATCACGGCTGGCAAATCCATAAAACCACGGCTTGAGAAATTCAGTCGCGGCTCGCCAAGTAGATATATTCCATACTAGCGCATTATCGGCAAAATTTTCGCCTTCAGAAGATCTTGCCGACACATTTAGATTTAAATTCTTGCATTTAATATATTTCTCAGTCTTCAGCCAACTATTTAGAAAAAAAGTAAGGTTTCCGGTACGTTGGATGGATTACGATGCAGCGAAGCTTGTCCGGAAATCAGTTGCGATGAGTTCCCGCAAAAAATGTAAACAACGCTTTTTCGATTGCATAGTTTCGGTCACATTAGAGCGGTCAGACTGCTTTATTACATGTTCAGTTGACACTTGCTGTACAATCGGACTGTTTTTAGGGTAAAATTAGTTATTTGGGGTAACACGTCACTTACACGTGCATGCAACCTTGTAATAAGTTCGTGGCTTGTAAATAGTTTGTCATTACTCAGCATAAATGACTTTTCATTAAAAATTACCCGGCGACGCATCTTTAAAATGGCCGGCGACGCTTTGGGCTTAAAAATCCATATATTGGCGACGCTGCATCCACCCTCTGCATAGTGGCACAACATCATTATTTGAGGCAAAAAATGAACTTCCTAAAGGCTTCAAACACGTACGCCAACTTGCTCAGTTTCTATATAGTACCTAATCACTTGAAAGTTGTAAGCCTGCACCTATCACTCAACAATTAAAATTAGACTTATAAAATGTATTAGTTAGTTGAAAATTTGCCTCTTAAGTTGACCGCAATGAACTAAACTTCATTAAGTAATTATAACTACGCTGCAAAGCAGAGTTTTCCATCATGCACACTAAACACGTAATTCAGAGTTCAGACAAGCAGAACTACATATCACGTTGGCAGATTGGCTAACATGCTACTGAATTAAATAGGTACCTAGCTTCTTTCCTGCTCCCGGTGCATAATCTAGCGGGATGATGATGATGATCACCACAACGTCACTCGACTGAGTGCCGCCCAGGCCCACCCCCCTCCGGAGCGCCGAGCCGGTCTTGCCACACTCTGATCAGTTGGGACACTTCCACTGGCTTATTCCATAGATCTTCAGGCTGCAGACTGGTTGGAATTTCAGCACACCCAAACAGATGTTGTGTGTTGTGGGTGTGGTTTTGACACAGAGGGCATGATGGTGTTGGGTAATTAGCCTCATCAATCTTATTGAGGTATTCTCTAAGCATTGGGCATTTCCCCGCCCTTAACTGCGCCAATGTACGCCTCATGCCTCGGTCCAAAGTCCTCTCTATTTCGTTTACTTTAGGTGCAGGTGCATTTAGAATCTTGTTGGGTATTCTCTACTCTAGGTATCTCTTGACTGCGGTGGTATGCAATGTCTTCATGTTTCTATTCACCTCCACGCTGCTATCACTGTTGTTGTTGTTGCAGTCATACATTTATATGCTATACTCGCTGTTGTATATGGTCTTTTTCATGAGTCTGATTAGCTCTTGGTTCATCAGACTTCTCAGTGGGTGTTCTTCCAGTTTGCTCTTCTCCCTCAGTTGCGAGGCCGTCATCTGCACATGGTTCTTCAGAGGCAGGACAGATGTTTCGTCGTGAAGATGTTGTGCGTTGGTGTCGCGCGTGTGTCCTGTGGCAATTCTCAGGGCAGAGTTCTGAACAGTTTGTATTTTCTGCCAGCCACTTTCCGATGTTATGGGACCCCATATACTACTTCCATACTCCAGAACTGGATGTATCAGCGCCTTGTAGGTTTGCACAATAGTCTCCGTGTCCTTTCAACCGTCAGCTCCAGATAGGGCTTTTAATATGTTCATGTTTTTCTTCGCTTTCCTCGCAGTGCTTCTTACATGTTCAGAGTAGGTCATCTTTGGATCAAAAGTCACTCCCAAGATTCTCGGATGTTTTTCCATTCCCAACGTTGTTCCTCTTACATTGAGCTCCAGGTTGACACTGTACTGCTTGGGATCCAGTGTTAATAGTGTGACTTGAGTTTTCTGTGTTGAGCAACAGGTGGTTGTTCTAGCAGGATGATCAATGCGGACGGTAACTGAGTCCAACTAATTGTATACGTAGTGCAAGAGAATGTAATAATTAGGTATGTTGTTTCTGATCAAATGAATGAAAACTTTTTCTGTTTCTGATCTAACGAACAAAAACTTCTGATCAAACAAACGAAAACTTCTGATCAAACAAATGAAAACTTCTGATCAAAGGAACAAAAAAAAACTTTTTGAAGATAATTTTGAAATCGTAACGTCTATTGAATTCTAATATGGATCGTTAATTTTAACATCATATTTCCAAAAATCAAGTATTGCATTTCTTTTAATTGAAAAACATTCTTTTACATCAAAAACAACTAATTTTTTCTTACAGCTCCTCACGAATGACGAATGAATGCTCCTCATATTGACAAATGACGATCTTACTCTTATAGCTGAAAATTTTAAATTGAACAATTTTGTCATTTCAAAGACCCCATTGATTACAGAACTTTAGTTTTTGGAAGTGTATTCAAGAAAAGTTTCAGAAATAGTAGGAACATTTCCATTATTATTCTGAAATAGAAGCGTCATTTCCGTTCTTAATATAAACAGGATTAATAAAATACCTATCAAATCCATCCAATGTCATTCAATTTGTGATGTATGAACAAAAGTTTTACTTTGATTCCTATGATGCTCATTTTTACCGGTTGAAGCTGTAGAATTAAATTTTACTAAGACAAATTTTATTATTTAATACACTAGATAGTACATGCTGTAGAATTAAATTCTATTAGAAAAATGTTGAATTGAAAATCTGATTATATTTTTTAAATTAAAAATTAATTTTTAATAAATTAAATTGTATTATTAATGCACTATATGACAGGTGCTCTATGTTTTATATAATGAAATAGTTTCCCATGTTAAACAACGAAAATTTTCTATAAGACACAAAACGTTCGAAAACGCGGGATGGCAGACGAAATCATTCAGAATTTGAAGTAAATTTATTAATATAAATTCAACATAATAGGGCAAAAAATAGAAAAAATTCAAATCTGGAATGTATAAATGGGTTTTTATGATTAAAAAAAACTTTCAATCATTTAAATCTCAGAATGGAATGTGAATCAAATCTATTTATTGTGAAATCAAACTAGACACAGCCAAAACATAAGTGTGTGACACCGTCTTGTAATACATAAACATAGAAAACACAATGTGAACATACGCAGTGAAAGAGTAGCAGTTTATCTCATAATTTTGTGTGGTATCGAAAACTTTGTTGGTGTTGTCCAATCGTGAGAATTTTTTATGAAGCTGGATGTGTTTTTTTTTATTTTAGAACGTATTCATTGCAAAAATGTGTCCGCTAGCCTACAGATAAACGACTAGTTAACTTGATTAGTCGTTGGCAACACAGGATTGGATTTCAAACCACGTGTGATTTCAGAAGCACGGCAGTTTCTAATGAGCTCAGTTTATCAATCTTCATTGCAGTGGAAGGTGGTGTAACGCGGTAGTAGGGTAGGTATTTCAATACGTTTTCTTATATTGACATGAGAATATATTACCTATACAGAATTCCACACTGGGGTAAACACACCATATTCTGGCACC